TATGCATTTATTTTGATCTAATAAAGATACCAGTGAGGCTGCCAATAGTTCAAAAAAAAAAAACATAAGATAATACCAAAGTAAATATGAATGCCATTTATATCGTTTATCAATATGAAAAAAAAAGAATCTTACGTATAGGTCCTATGGTCGGATTGTTTATGGTGTGCATCATAACCTCATGCATATAATCAACGCCCTCTCCAACCTATATGAGTAGCATAAAATGTAATATTAATTGAGCATTCATACACATAAAAAATACGATTCTATTTTGGCAACAGTAAGTGTACCTCCAGGCACCGCATTGTCTTATGGGGGATACCATATTCATTTAAAGGGCTTGGTATTTGTATAAATTCGTGGATTCGTTGTTTTGGTAAATATTCTGTATATCTCGTTGTTACAAAGTCAAAGTCCATCATTTTTAAACTGGCATTAAAAATGACTGTCAATTGACCGGGTGCAACAACCTAAACAACAGAAGTTGAAAACTGTTCATTTCACATTATGCAAACTGGATTTATTTTATAATCGGAACATCAATAAGAATATAAATACTTATAACATACCTGTATTCCATTGCTATAATGGTATACTATTGAAGCCGATGGACACAACACTTGATTATATTGCGCAAGACGCGGATTTCCTAAAATAAGTTGGATCTTTATTACTCCGGATTCAATGAATGTTTGATAAAACCTAGGTATGACTTGGTACTTTATTTCTATTATATAAAGTAGTTATTATACAGTTATTATACAATTAGTAACTAAGGCAATGAAATTTTTTTAAGAAAAGTTACAGAATATCATACCAAATTTCTTTTGAGTATGTGGTGCCCATAAGGTGTATTTCATCGAAGTATCATCAGCAAAAAAACGATTTGTCAACTCCCTCCAGTGAACCTCTTTCCAGTGAATAATGTTATCCTATTTCAAAATAATGAATACGTTTAAACTCTGAATATAAATGAATAAAGATCGTAATACTTCGATCCAATTAACTTACCCCTAAATGTTCTGCAAAACTCAAAAGCCTCATAAAGCAAGCTTCTCTTGGAATTCTGAAATTTTATTAAATGAATCATAAGTTTGATTTAGCGGACACCAAGTCAGTTCAAATTATTCATATAATTGAAATCAAGAGTTACTTGAGTAAATTTGGTTGATTTGGAATCCTTCTAATAACATTTATCGGATTATTCCCAAAGGGTATGCCCGGCATATAAGCTCCGTTGATGTGTACCCCATTTGGTTGCATTGTAAAATGTGTAGGCCTCGTTATTACTCTTTGGCCGTTTGGAAAGACTGGGTAAACGTTTGCAGGAACCCGGATCGCCGTTCCAGGCATTAGACCAACTTGATTAAAATTATTTGCCATTCAAAGTTACGGGATCAGGTAAATCTATAAACAAAGTTGCACAATAGAGAAAATAATAATAATATATATACATATATGTATATATATGATAATTTATTTAAGTATACTAATATATGTTTTTTTTTTTTTTTTTTGATTCCGTAAAATTACTTTCAGAATCGAAGAGAGAAATTAAAAAAAAAGATTTACAGGTTTTACGTACGTACGTACATTCGTATGTTACTGGCTAGATCGTACCCAATTATATCTGATATGAATAATTTTTCGCAATTGCCTCCCTGATTGTGTAACACGGAATTATTTTTCCCATTATTCATTATTCTGGAATTAGGTAAAAAAATTTTTGAATAAAATTTTCTTACATTATTTACCAAAATACAATAAGCTATGTATAGTGAAATCTCTTCAAATATATACAACCTTTTTAAATTAGTGTATATTATGTATTTTTTAAATACAGTATCGATATATAGTACAGTACAGTATTTTTTATTTTTTTTTAACTATCTAATGCTATATACAGTTAATTGTTTATTTTAACCCGGCCGGGTTAGCTTTTGTACAAAATTTTATGTTATTTATTATTATGGATCATGATAAAAAAATAGATTAGTGAAAGTCTAATTAAAATTAACTTGAATTATATACAATAATTTAAAATTTAAAAAATTATAATTTATTGTAATATATACAATGTATTGTATTTCTATTATAACTAAATGGATTCTCAATTTTGTGTAACAAATAAAATTATTTTTATTATTTATTTTTTTTTAAACTTAGTCTTTTAGAATTTTTATTTAAATATTTAATTAAGCAAAAAAATTTGTAGTTTAGGGTTTTAGTAATAGTTATTGGTTTTTATTTATTTTTTTTTTCTTAGGTAATTTGGTTTACTTTTTTTTTTTTTTTTGAACTATTGGCAGCCTCACTGGTATCTTTATTAGATCAAAATAAATGCATAATATATTCTATAACTATTTAAACTATAGATCTGATATTATTCGGCTTCTTCTAAAGGCACCCAAGTGTAATCTGCCTTATCGGTTAAGGCTATTGCCTATACCAGAGAGCTATATCAAGCTAGCTAGTAAAATCATAACAAGATAGTTTCAAATCGAAAGAATTTTCGACTACATCTAGTTGGTAATTTTCTTTTACTAAACTAATCTCCTTTTTAAAGTAATAATCTAAATCTAATTTTTCCTAACAAGTAATTTAATTTTATCTCTCAATATAGAAAAATTGTTAAAATTCTTTCATTTATATTTACATTTTCTTCTTCTCTTCTTCCAGTTTAGTTTATCCTTTCTAATAAGTGAACTAGCTCTCAGGAGTCTTCTTATATTCTTTTCAATAGTTTTCGTTTTTTGCATCACAATACTGTGATATTTTACTACTTCTTAAGAGCTTCTTCTAACAAGCTTTTTTAGGTATATTCTTCTATAAGCCTTCTTTTTTCAAAGTGCTTTAGGCCTTCCTATGGTCTTTTTACTTATGAGTCTTAAATAGTCTGCTCAGATTTTTCTCCTTTCATAATCTGGATTTGTAGATTTTCTTTTTTTTTCTTTTTTACCTTTCTCTTTTCTATTTTCTTTCTAGACTTTGATTTTCTTCCCAAAATTTCTTTTGAACTTTGCTTCAAATACTCTGATTTTCAAAGATTTTTATAAAGATCTTCTCTAATATCTTAAGTAATATATCTTTTTTCTTCTTCTTTTTTTAGTTCTTGGCTCCTTTTTGCCTGTGTGTTGAAGTATCTTGAATCCATTTTGTATCAGAGTTTCTTTGGGCCTTCGAATATTGTATCCATTTTATAAACAGGTCTTTCTTTTTTATCTTTCATACTCTACCATCTATCTGTGAGTTTTTTAATATTTGTTTCTAGATAAGCAGTAACTCTCCCTTGCTGTCTAGCATTTGTTTGAGTGTGAACACCCTAACAATTGATAATTTTTTTTATATTACTAGTTAATATATTTTAAAAATTATTAATATATAAATATATATACTATATTAATACAACTCTTTCTAATGATTTCTTGGACAACAACAAAATAAACTAAACTACAGTATAAAGATATAGAAAAGTAACAAAGTAGATATTATGATATTTTTGTTTATACCAACAAACTTGCTGTTAATGAAACTTATATATATAAAATATCAAGAAACAGATATATAACAAAAAGCAGATCCAGTATCTTGGATCAAGCTTTTCTTCTACAAACTGTTGTTGATAAAGTTTTTAAATATAATATATCAAGATATGGGCATTGTGAACAGTTTGTACAGAGATCAAGCTCTTATATTTTAGAAATAGACTTTTTTGTATATTTAGTATCCAAGCTAGAGAAGTTTCTGAAAATAGCAAGAAAAAAAGAAGTGAACTCCTATATCTTAGATATTCAAACTAAAAGGATATTTTGGGAGTAATGTTATTGTGAATCTCTGTGCAAGAATATTAAATAAAACCCAAAAAACTAAACTATATAATTATAACACTTACAAGAAAAATCTTATATACTCTCATTAGCCTACTACTTTTTTTTGAAAAAATTTTTGTAAAAGTGGGTGATTCAGTTTATCTCTTCAAAAAATTACAGTTTTTTTATATTTTTTATGTTATACCTGATCCTAAAATTTGATTGGTTAGGTGATA